GGGGGGTGAAGTTGGGGTTTAGTAGACTAGAGTATTTGGAGAGAAATAGAGAAAGAGGGAGAGAGACAGACAGAGAGAGACAGAAACAGAGAGGAGGGAGAAAAAGGGAGAGAGATAGATGTAGGTCAAATCGAACTGGCTTTGATATATACATGTGGCATATATTCGTTTTTGTGATATATCGCTGGTGGGCCTTCTTTCCAACCGCCTTCGTTCTGTCTTCTTCTCTACTTCTTTTTTTTCGGGCCGTTTGTTGTGCCTCAAAAATAGCGGCTGGTTGGTGGATGCCAATGGTACGTCGTACTTATTTACTTTCCCCCTGTCGTAACCACTGTCGGTCTTGCCCTTTCCTAGCACTAAATTAAATGAGCATTTTCGAGTTGGTGTGTATTTCTTTACTTAAACTAAAGCCATGGGGCTTCCAAGTAGACTCGGTGGGTGGTTGGCGGGGGCTCTCTAGTGTGGTTTGCTCCTTCTTTCCTATCAAACATCTATCGTCTTGATCTCTCCTCCTTCTTTTTTATGTTTGTTAGTCTCTTGTAACACCTCTGATCTTCGGCACTTATATGACCTTATATTGTGTTGCAAGTGCCGTATAACTCTTACTAAAACTAACACAAAATAGCGGGTAGTTGATGGATGCCAATAGTGCGTCGTACTTATTTACCCCCCCTTGTCGTGTCTACTGTCCGTCTTGCCCTTTCCTAGCACTAAATGAGAATTTTCGATTCGGTGTGTTTGGGGTTGTGTTTTTTTTATACTTAACCTCAAGTCATGGAGCTTCCAAAATAGACTCAGTGAAAAAAAAAAAGGACCTGCGAAATTTGCTGCACAATTTGCTCTTGTTTCAACAAATGAAAGAAAGCACAAATTAAACATACTTTGCGCCTCTTTAATTAAAAATATTTAAAAATCGACTTGCTTATGTTATTAATGTTCGTTTGAATAGAGAAAAAAAGTTTGTTTTATCTGGGGTTTTTTAAGGAAGGTAAATATGTGTTTCTGGAGCTGAGCAAACCATGTGTAGATTGTCATACTCAATACCAAACCAAACAAAAGACAATAAAATGAAAATCAGGATTCCCCAGGAGAAACTCAAAAAATGGGTCTTTTCAAAAGCGGCCTGTTTCCGCTCCTATGTTACAGGATGCTGCGCATTACTCTAGTTCATGATGTCTTTTCATAGTTCGTTTGGGCAGTCGTCCCAACCTTTAAAGGGCGTCTGTGCAGTTTAGGGACCGCTACACTGCAATCAGATGTTGCCCGTGTCAAAGGTGAGAGAGGGAGAGGTGCATTTCCATTGAGTAATGTCAAAACGGGGAATCTGGTTCCAGCCGGGCAGATGCCCAGCGTTGTCAGGTTGCCAGGACTTCCCCCGCAACATCTGCAAAAAATGAGTTTCAAATGTGGAGTTAAGTGCGGGAAAAGAAAAAAAGTTTCGTGCTCGTTTCCTCCCAGTAAGTGGTGTGTGAATGCGGCATAAACCTGTTTATTCAGAATACCGTGTCACACACACGTTCATTGAAAACTGAATACTGTCACGAACATTTCTCACCACTTTCCTTCTGGTTCAAATTGTTATGTTGTTTATTACAGCGTGTATATGTGTTTACGTTTCTCCACCCCCTCTCTCTCCCCCTCTATCGTTTTCTTTCTCCACC